TATATTATTTTATCATGTAATTGACACCTATGTGCTTATATTTTATTGTAACAATAAAGCGAATTTACATATATTTTTTCTGAATTTATTTTTATTTTTTTTGCATATATTTTGGAGTTTATTGGTATCGAGTGCATATATCGAGAATTTTTCTTGCCGTCGCTGAAAATTTGTATTTGGTCATGTGATTTGCACATATATCTGTACCCGAAGTACAAGAAAATAATTTTCTGTATGGAAGTTATGAACGCAGACGCGAAGCAAGAAAGGGAGGTTGCTGTCAAAGCTGTACTCAGAAGCAATAGTGACAATTATCTTTACCAATACCTTATACAGAGAAGGGAACAAGCTTCATTCGTAAGAGAAAGTTAAGCTGAACACAATGACTATTATGCTAAACTACATAGCCTTGAAAATGATCGTGAGCTCGGAGAAATTGCAAAAAAGGCTTTGAACGCGTTTGAGGTTAAGTACTAGTCTTTTTCTTGATGCTGTGGCATTCTGACATTACTCAAGCAAGAGCATCCGAGGTTGTTCTTGCCATGATCTGCGGTTCGAGTAATGATTAGTTAGGACTTTTACCAAGTAAGGGTATCCGAGGTTACTCTTATGATAAACTGAGGTTTGGGCTTTATCCATCAAGAGCATCTGAGGTTGTTCTTGTGGTCGGATAAAGTTTAGTCAGCCACAACATATTGCATAACAAGTACTACTGCGTTTTTCAAAGAAACTGATACTATTTTCTTTTAAGATGGAAAAAAAGTCTTCAGATGTTACCAACTTTTGGAAGGAAATCCAAAATTTGGAAGAGGAGGAAAACGCAGTTCGTTCCGCCTCATTAGGGCATCTCAACATATTTGGGAAAACGGTAAGGAGGAATAGAGCATTTATAAGAGGATCTGGATTTTATTTACTTATTCTAGAACTTCTTTTTGTGAACAGCTTTCTCGATATGCAAATGCACAGGAAGTAATAAATTTGTCAACTAATCGTCATCGTAAGCGAAGAACGCAACAAGAATTACAGGAGTCTTATGAGGAGTTTGATACAATACGAACTGGCATGTTTTGCTTAAGTCATTTGCCACCACTACAAATTTGCTATCACTAAGCATTTCATATAAATAACAGAAAATAACAAT